GTGCCTGCCAACACCCCCACCCAACCCCTCCCCCACCCCCGGTGGTTTTTTCTTTTTTCTTTTTTTTTTTTTTTTTTGTCCGGACATTGTTTGCACCCCGGGGACCGGTCCGGACTGTCCGGGGTCCGGTGATGTCCGGATCACTGGACAGTCCGCACCGGTCCAGACACTGGTCCGGAAGACAGTCCGGAAGTGTCTGGTGTCCGGGTCCGCGGTTACCATGAATGGCCCCGTTCACTGTTCTTTTTTTCTGTGTACAAGTACCGGGCCAAACTCTACAGCGGCCCGGGCCCAGTAGAGGTCGGGTGAGGAAGGGTCCCAAAAAAAAAAATTTGGTCCTCACGGTGGCACTGTAGATTTTAGGCTCAGGAAAATGCAACTCTTGGTTTGTCAAAATAGGCCCCAGCGGATGTCGGCGGCGGGCACTGCGCGCCGGCCCGAAAATCAAGAGTGGCCGCCGATTCGGTTTATCAGCGGCTGCCCTTCCGTTTCAGGCCAGCGCGTTACCCGGCGCGCCTACAAAAAAATAGCTGGGAAAGGTACTGGTGGTTGAACCGTCCCTCATCATCCAACTCACAACACGATGTCCTGTGCCGTAGAAAAAAAAATGGCATGCCATGCTCAACATGATGAAGTACTGTTTTTTTTTTTCTGAGTTCGAATTCGGCAATTTCTCTGAGAAAAAAAGAAAAAGATAGCAACCGGGGGTTCTGGTGCCTTCCTGGTTGCTGAGGGGTGGACAGTACTAAATATAGTAAACACCCGAATAGAACGCCCAGACTAGGTGTTCAAATCGTATCGAGATACAGCGATTACTAATATTGTCCAGATACAGCGGCTAACTTCAAAATTATGATGAGGTAATGCTACCGTCTTCACCCGAATAGAACACCCAGTCATTATCGCAGCATCTAGACAGAAAACTAGCCCAGATACGGCTATGATGACCGGGCGTTCTATTCGGGTGAAGACGGTAGCATACCACAGAAAAGACTACCGTGCTCCCCCGAATAGAACGTACCGTCATTTTTTATCCTTCGGGACATCAGTTAAAATTGGAACGATACAGAGAATGAAGATTATCATGGCCCCTGCACAAGGATGACTCGCATAAAAATCGAGACATGGTGGTCCAACTCAAAAAAAAAAAAAAAAAAAAAAATGGTCCAACTCCAGCGGTGACTTCCTACGAT